CCCACCCCCAGCCAAGAGACTCGTGCCCGCCGCCCCCTCCTCATGTCCGCCGCCTCATCTCGCTGCCGGTACCTTCACTCGCCCTCTGTGGAAAAACGAGGTCGATCCCCTCAAGTTACAGCGTTTTAGCTGTTTTTATTGTTCCTTATACTCCCAGAAGCTTTGGCTCGTGAGGGCTTTCTGGCCTCTCCGCAGCAGTTTTAGGGAACCATTGTTTTTGTGACCCGACGTGCCACAGAATGTGTAAAAAAATATAAAAGTCTGATTTAGTTGTAGACTCGTGTAAGCGGCTGCTTTACTTGCAAGGGAGGGGAAATGACCTTGCAAACCCATCTGACCATGGCCTTAGAAGTCACAAGTTGCACCACCAAATAAAGAGCTGGAAAACCACTGGAGCAGAGCGAGGAGGCCTGGGCGCCAGCTGAGGGAAAGCTGATGAAGCAGGAAAATGGATTAAGTCATTACAGTCTGTGTGATGCTAGGAATTTTTTTTTTTTTTTTTTTTTTTTTTTTTTTTTTAGTATCTGACTTATTATTATGGCATCTATAAACTGTTCCCTAACCTAGATGATTGATAGAAAACAATCAGCAATTTCAGGCACAGCAGCTGCTAATTCTTAGTGCTAGTAGTACAGTGCATAACACACTGCAGAGGCCATGGCAGGACAGACGGAGGAAAAGTTTGCCCTTAAAGAAGGTGCGATAAAACATTCTCTGAGGTGCCACTCTGAATTAAAAAGGAATTACATGGTTCAGGGAGAAGAGCTGCCGCATAAGGAGATCTGAAAACAACCACTATTTTCTGACCGGTGTATAAATGCTCCCTCACTGTAAGGGACGGATGAGAGCATGTCCTGAAGCAGGATAGTTTAGATGCTTTCAAATTTAATACAAGATAAACACAGATATGTTTTCTATCCTTATAATGGTAGTTTCTTCACAGTTCCTGTTAAACTGCACCACTTGTTTTCTACAGTGGATGAGATATTGCTTCTCTGTTCTGTCAGCCGTTTGATGGTTTGAGTTGTAGTCAGGGCAGATCCTCGATCACTTTTTGTATGATTCAAGAGAAAACATATACAAATCAGAAACAAAATATTCCCTGCTCTGTTTTTTCAGCTGTTGGGCTTTGGCCAGGAGACAACAAGGCTTTGCAAGCAGCTGCAGCAAAGATGCAGCAAGTATGCACTTATGTTCATGTTTTGAAAGCTGATAGGAAAAGTGAACAATTAACTTTGATACATGTCATATTTTTGAGGCGGGATGAAGCATGACAGTGGATGAGTGATGCTGTGTTTTAAAGAAAGCTTAGAGGATTCTCCAATTAGCACTTAATTCTGTCAATAAGTAAGGTCTCAGTGGACTGAAGTCCCAGAAATAAATAGGAAAAATGAAATACTGGGAGTACATCACCAGTCCCACTAAAAAGGCAGGGAGATCAGAGCCTGAGAGGCAGAAAACACAATCATAAGTGACTTCAATAACTCAAATTAAGTTGGATAAATGTCACAGGAGGGGGTAGGGCTGGAGCTAACATTTTAGAAAGTGTCTGTAGCTGCTCTTTGGGAAGCCAGAAGAGGAAAAGCAATCCCTGGTCCTAAAGAGTGTCATGTTATTGGCAAAGACCCACGCTGTAGCAGGAACTGTAGCATCCTTGGTTTCAACACCCTTGTAGCACCATGACAAAAAAAATCAGTAGCATTCTACTTCCTTTTCAAGAACAGAGGAGCAGTATAAAACAAGACACACCTTTCAGAGGTGTAAAGGGGGTAAAATAAAGGACTTGTAACCTCTGATAGGTTAAGTACAAAGTTGTGAGAAGGATACAGAAGGAAGTTTCAGGGTCAGCTTGCAAAAGTTACAATAATAGCAAGTCTTTCCTAGAACAAATCAGGGAGCCTGCTGGAGTTTGACAGCTCTATAAAGCAAATAGATTATTTCATATACAGAAGAAACATCTAGGGAAGATACAGCCATAAAAGAAAAGCTGAATTTATTTTTGCATTTGTGAATGGGATAGATGAGCATGAGTAAACTCCAACAATGGTAAACTTCTTTAAGGGCAATGATTAGGAAAACATGTCTTGGATTACAGTGCAAATATAAAAGATGAAGGAATACATTAACAAGTGAGCAGCATCCAACTGCTGAGACCAGATGGTGTTCAACCACTAGTTGTCAAGCAGCTCAGAGACAGTGATTCAGGTACTAACTGCTGTCTCTGACTTCTCACTTAAAATTACTTTGGCGTCAGAGGGGTCTGGAGAGTTACTCATGTGATACCAGATTTTTTAAAGGATTTTGGAGAAGATTGTAGAAGCTGTAGACCTGGAAGCCCAATCTCCTTGATAGACAAATAAGTAGAAATTATACCGAAGAACATAAAAAACTAAGTGGCCGCATAGAAAAGATGACACATTAGGAAAAGTCATTATGGCTTTTTTAAAGCAAATTGGTGTCTCAGGAAAGCTTTCTTTGAAGAAGTCAACAAGCTCACAGACCACAAAGATTCATTTAACTGTCTATGATGGTTTCCAAAAGCAATCAGTAAGATTCCACCCCAAAGGAAGTAAAAAAGAAGGCTGCTAATGGATATGAAACTTTAACAAATAACTGGTAGAAGTGGAGATCAGTAGTGATTTACAAAATGTGATGCTGATAATGAGCTATTCAGGGTAGCTGAGAAAAACTGAATGACTTTATGTTACTAATAGAGTTGGTGGCAAAATGGCAGATGAAATTAAATCTGATAAATATGAAAGGCTGACATATGAGAAAAAAACAATCCTGAATTTCACATACATACTGAGGAACTTTTAGCTGGCTTTTACCAGTGGGAAAAAGGCCTTGAGGTTGTGAAAGGTGGTTCTGTGAGAGCATCAGCTCAGGGCTCAGCAGTGACCAAAATGGAAATTGAGCATGTTAAGACTATTGTTAAAATTTAAGAGACAAATAGAAAATAAAAAGTACCATTGTATCAATCCCTGTTTGCACCTGCATCTTTAATTGTCTGTGCAGTTCTAGTTCAAAAATAGTGTGGTAGAAGTGGAATAGATTAAATAAAAATCAATAAAACTATCAGAAAGAGAAGGGCTTCGAAAGGGATAGTGGTTGACTCAGCTGGGTTTCTTCAGTCTGCAGGGAAGGAGAGGTAGTATCAAAGTCTATGTAAAATCTTCAGAGATACAAATAAGAACCAGGAATCCAGACTGTTCACTGACTTATCAGACACAGGAACTGAGTTACAGCAAATGAAATAAGAAATTGGAAGGTTCAAAACAAACAAGAGAAGATAGTGCTTCATTTAGCCTATAGTTAAGCCACAAGTCCTTGCTTCAGGACATAGTGGGTAACAAACCTTTGCATGGACTTAAAAAGCAGCTGGAAAATCATCAAAGACTCTTGATCTAACTCAGCAAGTTCTTGACTTGTAAGTTGCTGGAGCTGGAAAGACATTTTGGGAAACTACAGAACGTGTTTTCCCAGTTCTTTCTGCCTTCCTACTCATATCTTATCCACCTCTGTCTGAAACTGCTGGGCTGGATGGAGCTTTCAGCCAACCCAATATCAGTTTATATAGATTTAGGATTATTTTTACCTCCCAACTCCAGATCATCCAGCTGTTATAATCTCCCCAAAATATTTCTGATCAAAAAGTAATTGCATAGGGTTTTTGCACTGCCTTTTTGTTTTGCCTTTCACTGCTTTTAGTACTATATTTAAGCCCACACGGATTTTTGGCACTGCCTACTATTTTGTGAAAAAAAATTCTCATTGAAATCTTTAATGGGTTCTTCCCAGAAGCATTAAAAACAAATTATCACTTGTAGGTGTAGTGTCTTTCTCATTTCTGGGAGAATGCAAGTTGTCAGTGCAATCCTAAATACAATCTACATGGAAGGAATGATGTTATAGGTAGTGTGCTGCTCTGGAGAAAAACAGTACATTGTATGATGGAGAAGTCAGTGGTCTAAAGGGGTGGATGCAAAGCAGTTTGTTATTCTTCAGCTGTCTAAGCTGGCTTTGTGAATTAATGTGAAACAGAATAGAAATATTCATATTTCCCATTTCAACTGGTGCCAACAGGCTTACGATTGTTGGAGTGTAGAAGTATCAATACAAATACTTAATTTATAATGATGGTAGACCAGGTATGATTTGTGTCCTTTTGAGTTCCTTTTTACTAGCAGAAAATATTTTCATGCAGTTCAGTGTTTTAAGTCTATTAATAATTGTACAAAGCCTTAGCAGAAGAGATTGTAATGTATATATTAATAATGCATTTGCAGAGAAAAATATATTAATGCTTTTTGAAATGCTCAATTAAGCAATTATCTAATGCCACAAAAAGCATTAGTAACAGAGAGCAAGTATAACCTTAAATTGTTTTATGATACTGCAGGTCTAAGAGTTTTTCTAAGAAATCTAAGAGAGGAGCCCATGGAGTGGTGCATTCTGTGAAGTGGGAAGCATCCAGCCCACAGACAAACAGCTCTGGGAGGTTGTCACAGCTCCTCCTCTGTGGCTTAGCTGGCCAGAGAGCATACTGTGGCCAAAAGACTGTCTGTGGTCTGCTACTTCCAGAAATATTAAATATAACCATAGCAGCCTAAAAGCTGTTAAAAGATTTTCTAGCTTCTTTCTTCCCATTCTTTCTCCCTGGCCCCAGCCCTTCCTGGAAATGTCCACATTAAAATAGAAAACCGAGTCAATCTAAAACATCAAGTAAAAGGAACAGTCTGCAGATTTGTTTAGCAAGATTTCTTTTGTATTTAAGAGAATTTTAGCTTGATTGTTCTAGAACATTACTAATTCCTGTGCAGTTTCTGTAGCAGTTATCTTTAAAATGCAATAAAAATCACTGATACAGTTCATCCTTTTGTTCCTGAATTTGGTTTAGGCAAATTAGTAGATTTCTTCAGAGTCAAGTGTTAGGCACTTATCACCTGCTGGTTTAAATTTCAACATTGCGGTTTCAATCACCCTGTTTGCTTAGTACATCCTCTGTAACCTTTGATATATATGAAGCAGGGACCTAAAAAAAAATGTTGAATAGGAAGTATGTACACACCACAGACCACACTCTGTTTTGTGCCATTCTTTATCAGTTAAGCAAACTTTCAAGGCACGTTGTCTACCATTTTGTAGATAAGCTACTCTGCGGAGAAATGACACACATTGGAAACATATGGTAATTTGGATTAGAACGGATTTCAGGAGGTCTCTTCTCCAATCTCCTTAAAGCAGGGTTGGTTCAGACCAAATTTCTCAAGATCTTATCCAGCTGGGACTTGAAAATACCCAAGGATGGAGTTTGCACAACCTCTCTGGGCAGGCTGCCCCACTGCTTGACTGTTGTCACAGTAAAAAGCTTTTCCTCATATCTGATCAGAATCTCTTGTGTTTCAGCTGATGCCCATTTGTTTCTTCATCC